AAAGTAATTTGTAATTTGTATGATTTAATAATGTTTAGAAGAGTGTGCCAGATTGGCCATGAATTAAATTTGAATAACTTGTTAGGGTGAATTGACTTAAGTTGAAGATTGTTAAATTTAAAAATTATTGATTGAGAGTCTGTAGTGCTAGATTTATTTATGAAAAAATTAAAATATATTATCTTAATAAAATTTTAAGTAATTTAAATTTAAAAAAATGTCCAAAAGTGTCTATATAACAATACTGTATATAGGTATAAATAATAAGTTAGTTAAAAAGGCTTTAACTTGTCTAATAATATTGTTGAGTTTTTTGAGATTTAGATGAAGTAAGATAGCTTTAGCTGAAAATAAGTGTTGAAAGTTGCAAATTGTTGTTTTTTTGTTAGGAATGCATTTAGTAGCAACATTAATAATACTAGTTTGGATTTTATACTAGGTAGTTTCAAGAGATTCAGAGGTTTAAGTAAAAAGAGGTATTTTATTAGTAGTAAGATTAAGAGAAACTTGGTTAGCAAAGGTTTTCTATTGCTCTTTATTCATTGCTTTATAATTAAAAGTTCTGCGTTTGGTTCTAGTTGAATGTCTGTTTTTGCCTATAAGGACATAAAGGAATGTTCAAGAGGATATAAGAATTTTGTGATCTTTTTAGGTGCAGTTTTCTGCATCATTCAAATAAAAAGAATTGAGGTATTTAAATAAAAGAAGGTAGATCCAAATATACTCAATAGTACTGTAATGTCTACTGCTATGCCAAGTATGAGAGGAGGTATTTGTATGATCTGCCAGATCATAAATATTATTATTATTTTTTTTTTTCAGTATTAAGGTGACCTCTTTGGTCCGAGCTTTTTTATTAATACTTATAGCAGGTATATGTTTTATATAGACGTATCTATAATGAACTATTAGACGAGTGTACAACTGGCTACACGTGTAACTTTTCTATATTACCTATTTAAGGAGTCTGCCCAAAGGTTCCCCACCAGTTGCCGTACTTAACACCCCCTGCTTAGATGTTCTATTTAAACCCTCTGATCTAACTCTAGTATTAATTTCACCAGATCACAGACCTGGATCTATTCACATTCGACCATAGGACTATAATCCGTAGACTATTTTTATCCTTAAGGTAAACCTACCAGAGCAAGCCGTATTTCCTTTTACCGCTAACCTGGTTTGATGCTATGACCAGAGCCAACACTTGCAGTCAGGGTTACTCCTTAAACTACTATTACTCTTGTAAAGTTCACCCAAACCCTGGTATCTATCTTTCCGACTTCTTTTTCATCATCTTCTACTAGCCACAACTCGGAACCAACAACGGACTTCCCCAGACTCCCAATCTAGCTGGCCTGGTATGGTATACTTATGTATCCTTTTCCTCCAGCGATTCCAGCAGCCTGGTTGGTCATGTGCTCCTCTACACATCTTTGTCATCTGGTTTATCCAACAGTTCCTATGAAGGTGTTTTATGGGCTTTCGTTAGTCCAATGGCACCATCAAAAGTTTGTGCTATCTCTTTACTCAGGATTTCCAAGTGAGTTTCTGTCTTTTCGGTTTCTTAGCCTTCTACGCCCAGTGGTCTTATCATGAGTTTGCCCAAAGCCTTATACAACACTGGTTTTACATTCCTCTATGTACATGTACCGTGTCACATTACACTTAGCATAGATGCCCCGAGCTCCCAATGTCAGGTGGGGCCCGACTTGGTGTATCTAAGATTACAGATGCCCAAAACCCAACCAATCGGCAAGAGACAGTTACTGTAACACAGGTATAATTTCCAAAATTCGTCGTTCGTGGGAATTGAACCTTAGACCTGCCACTTGAGGGTTGACAACCTATCCACTTCACTAGGTCACCACACCCTCCTAACTACTATATATTATAATATAACTATGCTAATAATTAATAATAAATATAATGTAAAATAATAATAAATATATAACAACTACTAATAATATAATATACTATGCTATGCTAAAAATCTATTTTGTAACAATACATTCTTCTAAAATCAAAATCTGCAACTAAAATTAAATAGTCACTTGTATTCTCTAATCTTAGCAGATTTGTTTGATAATAGATGAATGCTTGATTTTCATATTATAAATTATAGATAGTTGTAAGATCATAGACTTTAAGCTGTAACTCAAAAAGTATCAATTTATATATCAATTAAAATGAATTGAAATTAGTTTAAAAAAGAAATTACTTGTCCTTAAATAACTTTTACCTTTTCTTCAGCCTTATGTTTGTATTTTGTATACATCATTTGAGTTTTAGCCTTATCATTATCTTTACTAGAATTCTTATTATAAACAATAATCTTCTATCTTAATGATTTTTTGAAGATATATAATAAATGTTTTACATTCATTATTATTATTTTTTTTATTTTTTATTTATTTATTTATTTATTTTTAAATTAACATTGTCTAGTCTTGATACATTGAGTTGTCACACTTTAAGAACTCCTAATAGATAAAAAATACATGTCAATTAGATAATACATATTTGAGCTTTTTTTCTTGAGCTTACTGTGGTAAGATTCAAAGAGATTTGTTGATGTAATCTGAAGAAGAAGGGGTGAGTATTGTCAGGCCCAAAGAGCCCACTTATCCAAATTTTTTAAATAATTTTTGGTAATATATTTAACAACTGCTGAAACAATGCAGTTAGTTATAACATCTTAAATAATACCTTTACATCTACCTTGGTTCTTTTATGCATTGCATAGGTTATTTGGTCAAGAGTTGGTCTGTGATATATATTTTTCATCCACATGCATATAATATGAATTGTGCAAAGAAAGATACTACATACTTGCTTTCCAGCTTAAGAATCTAGAAAGACTGCCTCAATAGTATCAACTTCTATACTACTTTGGTCAAGAAGCATTATCATGAGTTCCAGTAAGGAGCAAACTTTTGAATAATTTTTAATGCTAATATTACAGTTTTACTATTCTCATTACTAATATAAAAATACACATCTATGTTTTAACAACTACAGCTATCATGAACATATAATGTAAACAGTTATCAACTATGCCTATTAGTCTTATGTATCGAATCTATAAGAATTAACCAACTATATTATATTAGACTTTCTAATTGCTCTGAATTTACGAAACAAAATCTATAGTAAGACTTTTGAACAAAAAATCATTCAACTAAATAGTTTTTTTCAGTTAAGAATTTTACTGTTTTAATAATATCAGTTTTTATATTAGAATTACCAACAAGATATAAATTCATTAAATTCATGAGTTTAAATTTAATGTTTATAACATTTTATGTCTTGAGATATTCTATACCTAAGTTTTTGTACATTTTCTTAGCTTTATTTTGAACAACATCTATGATTGCTAGGGGTGATAACTCTTAACTGCTTCTTTAATTACTAACTCTTTAATAAATTTTAAGCATTTTCGCATATTAACATTATTAATATTATGACAATGATCTAGAATACTATTTATTTATTCAACATGAACAATTTTTGTAATAGAAAGTTATGTTATTTTTATACTGGCTTTACATTCAACAGGAAGTTACTTATAAGTTACATGAAGTTTTTTAAAAAAAATATTGTCTTTTCTTTCACTTAATTCTCTTGATTTTGAGAACCAACACATATAAATTTTCTACTTATCATCATTTTTTTGTTTATAACTATTGAACCTTATCCAGAAATTGTCTACAAGAACCTATTGCTTTTCAAACTCTTCAACAGAAAGTTCAAATGAATTGTTAATATTAAAATAACATTCATGTAAACTTGACATTATTAAGTATTTTATTTCTGATTTCAGTTGTAAATAAAAGGTTTTTAATTCAAACATATGAAATATGAGAGACTTAAAGTTTGTTTTTTAATTGTAAAAAGTACTGCTTAACTTTTTTTAAAAAAAAAATCATGTAAAAAAAAATTTTTATAAAAAAATTTTTTATGCAAAAAAAAAAGATATTGTGTTGAGATTTGAAAAATTTTAATTGAAAATCTTAAAACACATTTAAAACAAAATATATTTGAAAAGAGACTAGATGTGAAGTATTGAAACTAGGTATAAAAAGCTGAAAATTATATTTAAAAAAAAATCTTTAAGTACAAAAAAAAAAACTTTTAAGCACAAAAAAAAAAAAAAAAAAAAACTTCAAGCACAAAAAAAAAAAAAGCTCTAAGTACTCTAAGCGCACAACCTTCAAGTACAACTCTAATAACTCTTTAAGTACAACTCTAATAAATCTCTTTAAATGCAAGATGTAAGATTTTTTGGTCGCAAATCGCATAGCACATTTTGATACGTAGCATATTTTGTTATTCGAGTTTTGATTGGTCATTGATTACAGTGATCAATTGACATGTATGACCCTAGACCGTCAGCTTGATTGATCTGCAGGGCTTAAAGGAACCCCTAAATATAGTTTTTTAATAAATATTCAACCAGTTTAAAATTAAAAAAACCTTTATAACTTAAGTAAAAATTTAAAAATACAGTATATAAATTATTACAAAATTTTACTATTGGTATTATATAATCTACAAATAGATTTATTGTAACCCTGAAAAATATATACTCAAAGGTGTTGTAAATATGTATGCCTTGAAAACACCATATAAACTAACTAATCATAATCCGCATTACTCAAACAAATATCTTAAGAAATATAAACATAATCAATAGATAAACAGATATATATATTACAGATATACATTAATTTATACATACAAGTACAGTGTTCGTAATTACTAGGAAAAACGCTAGCTAGTTAAATATGCTAAATTTCTTATTAATACCGTATTAAATAGGCTTTAAATAACACATTTCTAACAAAAGAAATAATGGCACCATGTCAAAACTCTTTGAACGAATCATGAATGTTTTTGTTGTCTTGTTGAGAAGATTCCAAACGTGGGGCACAGCTCACGCTACTAATAGAAGTATTCCAAATATGAATTCCTGGTGCCAAATCTTCGTCACGAATAGCATCTGGGAACATAGTGAAAAAACACGGGTCGCATGCACGTGCTATTTTATCTTCACGCTCACTCGAGCCAGGTATCACAAAATTCTTGTAAAGCAAATGTAATAATAAAAAATGGAATGAATATAAACGTAACTAATGCAAAATTAACATAAAAATGAGAATAACAATACATTACTCTTGTAGAACACGTATGACAAACAACTTTTCCACATGCACGACAGTGGTGTTTTCGTAGAAATAACGTAAATACTTCGGAACAATTCATGCACCTGTCGGCTTCTGCATCAGGAACCCATATAGGAGCATGATAATTATCAACGACGCACTTCTTATATGAATACTTTCTTTCGGTCAATATGGGTCTATCTATTGTACAAATATTTATGAGGATATAACCATTTTTGAGGGAAAAAAATTTTGAACATAAATATTTCATGATTCCATACCAACATTGAGAGTTCTTTTTGCACTAAGAAATTTTTCTTGAGTGTTACGAATAGTGTTGATCCAAGATTCTTTTTCACTTTTATTATCTATTATACAAATTTAAAGGTAATATATTTGAACTTAATTCTGTAAATACTTTCGGATAACGACATAATACCAACCTGTATAAAGTATAAAACTTTTTTGGGGACTAAGGACTTGAAACGCATTTTTAACAGCTATTTGTAACAAAATTAAATGGTATTTAAAAATACATGTTGAAACGTTTATATGAATGTATTTAATGTTATCATACCAGAACAATCTTCAACGGCCAAAACTGTCACATCCTCAAGATAAAATTTACGATGAAAAGTATACATATTATCCATTAGACTCGGTGGACTTGATATATTAAGATTAATATGTAAATATAATATAATGATTAATGATAAAAACAAAACAAAAGGAAGATTTTACCTGGCATATATTAAAATATCAGAAAACAAAAAAAATTCACGATGTTGATGATTTTTTCTGCAAATCTAATGGATAAATATAAATGTTAAGAATAAATAGTAAATAAGAATAGTTATATAAAATTTAAGATAAATGCTGAGCTGAATATATCAATTATTATAGCTAACAATAATTACCTTCATCAGTGTACCTCTCTTGATCAACGTTCTTCCAGGAATTAATAAAGTTTCGTCAAATCCAATCAAAGATTTTTGAATCTCTAGCATAGAAATGATCATTTCATGTTGGCGAATAGTTTCATTTACAAAGGTGGCAACATGTTCAATTGTTTGGAGTGCTTTCTTTAAGTTCAGGTAATCAGGATGGCTTTCAGTGGTTTTCTTTAAAAGTCCTTCCAGTAATAATTTATATTTAGGAATCCGTTGAACTGGCATGATTAAGTAAGCCTGTAATGTAAGACCTTTACATTTTCCAGTCTTTATTACATCCTGAAACGATTTGACACAGTTAAGAATTCATAAAAATAGCAATTAGAATACATTTGTAATTATTAATCATCACTTACTCTAAGAAATGCTGAAAAAAGTGGATTATCTCTAAGTTGAATATCGATGACAGAGAGAGCCGAATTGAAATTTTTAACATAAATAGAATACATTTTAAAGAATGGAGCCTAATTTAGATAAATTTTTATTTAAAAACTATTAACATATCAAACTGACATGATTAATTAACTAACAATTACCATATTCAAAAATATGTCACCCAGACAACCAGTTTCGGGATTCCAAAATTTAGATTCACCGTCTTCATCAGCAGGAACGTCATTAGATCCAGAAAGCCTCTCTTCTAATCTTTTTAGTAATTCTGTATTGACATTCAACAAATCCAAAAAGTTTGCAAAAATATTTTTGATGGGTTTTTTAGTCAGGATCGGATTTTTTGTCGACAGTGATTCGAGAAGAGGGTTAAGGAACAACTATGAGAGGTATCAATTAGTTTGAGAAGAATTATGATATGAAGCCTTTGATTATTATTAAGAGTATTTTTACCCTTTGAACAAGCAATAAAGAATCAATATAATGACGTTCTGTTGTTATAATTTCTAAAGCGATCATCAATCGTTTTTGCATGAGAGTATTCACGCTCATTTTAATAGACGCACGAGATGCTCTGTTGTTAAATTGAGCTCTTGCAGCGGAAGTTGATCTAAGAGATGAAATAGGTTCAGAACTATCGACTTTTTCTGGCAAATTTGTAGGAGACGTTGGCATCGAAGTACATCGTGGCGCTACAATGATTTGTTTTGATCCATTGGATAGCGCGCTTGTCGAATGTCGTTTACGCGAAGGGTTATTTATTGGAGAAAAAAAATGAAAAGCATTTGAGGATTCGCTTTGAATAGACGATATACTAAATATAGAAGCAGTGTCCGATGTATCATTTTTGTCATAATTGTTTAAAGAGTTATCGTCGTTTACTTTTCCACGCGATCTGTCTTTTTGAATCAGAATAGATAGTCTCGATTTAGCAGTAGGCATACACTTTTCTAATATAGCATTCGACTGTAAGTATACGCTTTCAGCCTCCAGAAGTGATGGTTTATCAAAGACCCACGATTGACGCCTGACAGACAATACCGCGCGACGAACTGGAGGTGATATAGGGACACCTTTCTGCTGCTCATAGGAGGTAGCAGAACTCGCTGTTGTAGGGATTACTGGAATTGTTGGTATGGACGCATGAGATTCCATTATTTCGTAACCCAAAACTAATGATACAAATCGAAATCAATTAATCGAAAAGTTGACCGATTTGACAACTTGACGACTAATTGATTTAAAACTTTCAGAGCAACTAGTCGTTAAAAGTTAGAAAATAATTTAACCATAACGATAACGATTACAAATGAACCACGTGACCATGCAGTTACAATAACGATAAATTTTAATTACCGTTACGTACGATAATTCAAATATGGGTACATATATAAATAGCGTAGTTTATAATAAGAGCGAAATTTCCCTATTGATTTTGTGTGTAGGGGGAAAACGATCAGGTGGTATAAAAATATTACAGAATGGCTATGTATGAAAACATCGTACCCGTATAAAGACCAACGAAACAATCTATTTTTTACTTTAAGTTATTTTAAGGATGAAGTCATTTCGTGTAACCAACATGGAAATCGAACACCTACCCTGAATTTTACCAATACTCTGATTGGGTTCTAGTTATCTTTATTGTTTGTTGGCTTTAATTATTATATAATACTCTAGCTATGGTGAAACAAAGTATCGCTCGTGTGATCTTCTTAATTTCCCGCAAAAAAAATAGGTTTCGCCGCAGTTCGAGTTCGGGTCCATAACAGGGCTTAAAATCCTATAGTAATTTGTCGGCCTGCAGCCTATTGTTCGATGTGTTTTTCTTGATTCATCTTATTATTTACTATACCAGCCAATTATACTATAGATCAAGAATGATAATTTTGAATGGCCGGTATTTCAATATAGTCTGATCCATAATTTACATAGAGATGCAAAACGGTAGACTGGCTTGTAAATTAATTATATAAAGTCCTATTGGCTGGTATAAATCAATTGTCCGAGTAACTTATTTATGAACCTCCCTAGCGTCACCCAAAGATCAGTTACGTACCGGAATTTAAAATATATACTGGAATTTAAAATTAAATACCGACACGCAAAAAGCGATTGATACTAATACTGTAAAACTTATCGATATAATTTTTTTTTTTTTTTGCAAAAAAAGCAACATGCAAATTGAATTGCTAATTTAATTCTTGCTATATACATATGTATATCTTTTTTTACTAATGTTACATCAATTAAATTTTATATGAAAATAAAACTATTGCCAATAAAAAGTATTCGAATTATGTCTATTTCATGTTTTTCTTGCAGTTTTTGCAGCTTCAAATCCTTCTAAGTCATTTACCATTTTTTTAATAGGGTTCAGGTTTATTTCAATTGCATTTAACCATTTTTTCTGTTGAGGAAGTGTTTCTGATTTTTCAATGTATTTTATCGCCTATGAATTAATATTATTAAAAATATATAAAAAAACAAATAATTTAAATAACTTATAAAATAACAATATAAATAAACAATACCTTCACTAATATTTCTTTTAACTCAATTACCTTATTACTTGTATCTTCAACATCACGGTATTTGAATTGTTTTTATTTATACTTAAATCTATTAAATTCATTTCAGATTTCTCATAATCATAATATTTTATTTCAGAATTAGCCAATGTGTTGAATAAATCATTCTTGATAGTTTGCCAAATTGTTTGTTGGGTTTCATAGAGAAATGGATATTTGTTATTATGTTAAATCTTATTAAAAAAAAATATTATTCATATTTCCTAGTAGTGAAATTAAATGTTTACAAAATGCAAACTGATATTTAAGAAATATAAGGCATGAACAAACCTAATTAGTATAATTAGTGAAATATTTGTTAGAATTTTTTATTTCTCAGTTTGCAAACTTTTTTCACTCATTTGTGAAATCTTTTTGTCAAGATGGTTGAATTCTACTAGTAACAAGAAGGTTATAATAATATATTAGTTTTGGTAGCATTTAATTAGTAATAACATAACAGAAAACATCAAGCTAAAGATGGTTAAACTTGTATAAAAAATCATGTTTTAGGATTCTTCAATATGACTCAATGATCATCATAGTACAAACAATTAAACCATTTTTGTGAGCTAATAGTGCCCAAAGGCACCAACAATCCTACCTGTACCATTCTTGCTATAAGTAACATCATATATAAAACAAGTTATGATGATAACAAGATTAAAAATTTTCATTAATTACTTGATACCAGATTTCTTTTAGGATTGATACAAACTCTTTATCTGCAGTGAGAATAAGCATATGATGATGAAAATGTATATCAATATACTCTAATATTTTTTTCATAAAGATGCTTTTAAAAAAACTTTTTTAGAACTTAAATTAGTATTTTGGGTTGGTTGTCAAGTTGGATTAATTATAGAGCATTGTTGATATACAGTAATGGCATTATAGTTGGATGAAATATTACTAAACTTTAAAAACAGTTTTTGCTCAATTGCACACCTTAAATGCCACTTGCAAAGTTGAATTTTTATATTTTTTCAAATAGCTATTCTGCTACTGATCTGATCAAAATCTTTATCAAAAGAATTGTTTTCACTTCTTTAAGTTTATTTTCATATAAAAATTTAAATCATAATGTTATAGCTGCACAAATATCATATTCTTTATCAGATTCAATAAAACAATATGAAATTGGGAATTCAGTTTTATCTAATATTGCTATTACTGCATAAAGCTTATATTTTAACTGATTAGTGTTGTAAGTAGCATCCACCATAATTGTTTTAAATGCTATATATAGTAATTTATTAAAAAAACTTATAAAAAATCAAATACATGTATTGGTTGATTTAAGTCAAGTATAACTTTAAATCCTTTTTCATATAAGAGTAATTTTGCTGATTGGTATTGATTTTCATGTCATCGATAATATTTCGATGTTTCATGTGCCTACCAAAAATAAACTTAATTAATTGTTAAAGTTTCAAATCCAGCAAGTTTTTTTGATATAATTTCATAGTGTAATTCTGGTGCTCTAAGCATTAAATTCTCATGTACATATTGTTTAATCTGTTCTGAAACTATAGTATACCTTGGATATTAATGAAGCTGTTTGTAACTAAGTTTAATATTTGCACAATTGCTTGTTAAATTAATTGCAATTAAAAGAAGATCTTCACATATATATCTAATTATATATGACTTTGTATTTCATTGTTTAGAAATAGCACTATGCTTTTGATATTTTAAAACAAGCTTTTTATGACAATTGCACCAGTAATAAAATGTTTTTATATTTGTTTTTTTCAAAGTAGTCTTAATATGATATATATAATTATAACTGTCTTTTTTTTCAATATAATTAACAATCTTACTTGCAAGGTAATATTCATATTTATTTTCTTCAATATCTGCTAAAATCTCATTAATTAACATATCCAGATTGATTGCTTGCTCAAAATAAAATTCACAACTACTTTCTAAGTTTTTATCTATATCTTCTATGTTTGCAATATCCTTATAAATTACATCAGTAATGTTATTAACATCAATAATGTTTTCTTTAGAATTAGGTAAAGAAGTAAAATTTTCTTTATATTTTTACTTTTTATTTTCCTTAATATGGGTTAAACAATTAAAACAAGTTTTTGTTTCATAAAAAGTTTCTGATATTTTGTATATTCTGCACATTTTGTAGTATAATAAATTTATTATAAATAAAAAAAAAATGTATACTTTTTCGCTTAAACAAATTATTATTATTATTTTTTTTTTTTTAACCTTAAATAGTCATGCTAATACTTTATTAAGATTCTTAAAATTACTTCTGCAATTACATAGATTTATCTAACAACTAAGTCTAGCATTATCCGGCCACCCAAAAAGATACCTAAGTGCAACCTGCTGCACTACTTCGAACAAAAATAGATCACTTGTTTGACTACTTAAAGTCTATAATAAAAGGATCTTTTTCCTTTTATGACAAGTTCCATCATTGTTTTCCTAATTTCTTCATTAATCCTATCCTTTTTCTCTTTTGTTAATTTTCTTTCTTCTTCAATCTTTTGCTGACTTGCCTTTCTTTTCTTTTTTGAATCCTTCTTTTTGACTTTCTTTTTCTTCATTTTGGTCATTATACCTTCTTTCTTCTCCTATTCATTAACCTTTTCATACTATATCCTCCAAACCTGTTTATAGAATATGTCCCATGCTGTCTTTACCACTTTCTCGATAAACCGCTATCTTATCTTGGTGTTTAGGAGCTGTGCTAATCTTTCTTGTATCTTTTCTGGGATTAAGCCTTTGATTAAAGCTTCTCTTATCTCTATTTTTTCTACTTCATTTTTTCTGAAAAGTGCTGTATATAGTACATATAGTGGGATGCAGGTTTTTTCTTCTTTTTTTAACCCTTTTCAGACTGTCACAATGGTTACTTTTTGGATTTGTTTTCAAAGATTTATTTGTTCTTTGCAAAATGCCAAATGTGCCTGCATTTCTTTAACTTTATCTTGATATACTTGACATTTTGTTGTTATGTATATATGTAGTTGTCTTCTGTTAAGTTCTTTCAAGGTTAGAAGTTTATCTATTATACACTTGATAAATATGCATCTCCTTGTACTACTTCTTCTTGTTGTGCTGTGTATTCTTTTAGTTGCTTTAAGTTTTTTCCAAAATTGTATCTAATCATAAATCATGATCTCTGTTTTTAGTTTCAACTTTTTAATTGCTTTTGTTTCTCTTCATTCTGCTTTTAATCTTGTATTTATTATCAAGTTGCATAACAGTCTTGCTGAGATGTCAGTTCATCTGTTTTCTCACTCTAAGCAGTACTCTATTTCTTTACAACTGACTTTTTCTATCTGTATTACTTTCTCACTTCTTGTTTCTTTTTTTGCAAGGCTATCAGTTTTGTTATTTTACTTGTTCTTGCTGTAACTTTTGACTTTTATTAACTCTATTGTATCTTTTTTGTGTTAATAAGATCTATAATATTTATTATCCATATTGCATTTTTCTTTTTAAAGATATTTATTTTATCTATTTGCTCTAAACCTTTACTAATATTTCTTATCACAGCATTACTGTCTATATATATTACTACTTGTCTCTCTTTTGGTATTGTTAAAATTGCTG